TTTCACCATGTTGGCCAGGGTGGTCTCAATCTCTTGACCTTGTGATCCTCCCACCTTGGCCTCCCAAAGTGCTGGGATTACAGGCGTGAGTCACCGTGCCTGGCCTAGGTCTTACATTTAAGTCTTTAATCCATCTTGAGTTAATTTGTGTATAAGGTATAAGGAAGGAATCCGGTTTCAGCTTTCTGTATATGGCTAGTCAGTTTTCCCAACACTATTTACTAAATAGGGAATCCTTTCCCCATTGCTTGTTTTTGTCAGGTTTGTCAAAGATCAAATGGTTGTAGATGTGTGGTATTATTTCTGAGGACTCTGTTCTGTTCCATTGGTCTATATATCTGCTTTGGTACCAGTACCATGCTGTTTTTGTTACTGTAGCCTTGTAGTATAGTATAGTTTGAAGTCAGGTAGCGTGATGCCTCCGGCTTTGTTCTTTTTGCTTAGGATTGCGTTGGTTATGTGGGCTCTTTTTTGGTTCCATTTGAATTTTTAAGTAGTTTTTTCCCCAATTCTGTGAAGAAAGTCAACGGTAGCTTGATAGGGATAGCATTCAATCTGTAAATTATTTTGGGCAGTACGACCATTTTCACAATATTGATTCTTCCTATCTATGAGCATGGAATAGATTTGTTTGTGTCCTCTCTTATTTCCTTGAGCAGTGGTTTGTAGTTCTCCTTGAAGAGGTCCTTCACATCCCTTATAAGTTTTATTCCTAGGTATTTTATTCTCATTGTAGCAATTGTGAATGGGAGTTCACTCATGATTTGGCTACCGTTTTGTCTGTTATTGGTGTATAGGAATGCTTGTGATTTCTGCACATTCATTTTGTATCCTGAGACTTTGCTGAAGTTGCTTATCAGCTTAAGGAGATTTTGGACTGAGACGATGGGGTTTTCCAAATACACAACTATGTAATCTGCAAGCAGAAACAATTTGACTTCCTCTTTTCCTAATTGAATACGCTTTGTTTCTTTCTTTTGCCTGATTGCTCTGGCCAGAACTTCCAATACTATGTTGAATATAAGTGGTGAGAGACGGTATCCTTGCCTTGTGCCGATTTTCAAAGGGAATGCCTCCAGTTTTTACCCATTCAGTATGATATTGGCTGTGGGTTTGTCATAAATAGCTCTTATTATATTGAGATTCCATCAATACCTAGTTTATTGAGAACTTTTAGCGTGAAGGGCTGTTGAATTTTTTTCGAAGGCCTTTTCTGCATCTATTGAGGTAATTACGTGGTTTTTTAAATTGGTTCTGTTTATGTGATAGATTACACTTATTGATTTGAATATGTTGAACCAGCCTTGCATCCCAGGGGTAAAGCTGACTTGATCATGGTGGATAAGCTTTTTGATGTGCTCGGTTTGCAGTATTTTACTGAGGATTTTTGCATCTATGTTCATCAGGGATACTGTCCTGAAATTTTCTTTTTGTGTTGTTTCTGCCAGGTTTTGGTATCAGGATGATGCTGTCCTCATAAAATGAGTTAGGGAGGATTCCCTCTTTTTCCATTGTCTGGAATAGTTTTAGAAGGAATGGCACAAGCTCCTCCTTGTGACTCTGGCACAATTCAGCTGTGAATCCGTCTGGTCCTTTTTTGGTTGGTAGGCTATTAATTATTGCCTCAAATTCAGAACTTGTTATTGATCTAGTCAGTGATTCAACTTCTTCTTGGTTTAGTCTTTGGATCGTGTATGTGTCGAGGAACTTATCCATTTCTTCTAGATTTTCTAGTTTATTTGCGTAGAGGTGTTTATAGTATTCTCTGAAGGTAGTTTGTATTTTCTGTGGGATGGGTGATGATATCCCCTTTAACATTTTTTTATTATGTCTATTTAGTTCTTCTCTCTTTTCTTCTTTATTAGTCTGGCTAGTGGTCTATCTATTTTGTTGATTTTTCAAAAATCCAGCTCCTG